AAAAAAAAATCCACTTTCAGGCCTCCAAGTTGCAGAAGGAGGAGGACCTGCGAAAGGTAGAGGTTGAGACACTCCAGGCTCAGCTGGCTTCAGAGCAGAAGGAACTAGCAACAAGGAAGACCCATGTGGATGAACTGAAGGATGAACTGGCTACCCAGAAGCGCAAGCATGCAGCAAACCTGAAGGATCTCACCAAACAGCTTCAGCTAGGTTGACATTATTTTCACATTTAATAAGTCAGCCCAGTTTGCCTAGCCCTCTTGTACATATATACGAGCAGCTGAACACTTTTTCTTACCCATATTGAAAGATCAGTGTCTCTAGGCACCAGTACCATACTCTGCACCAGGTAATGATTTTAGTCATGAGATACCACAACGGAGCTGGTGTCCTGTCATTCATTAGTTGCTTGCATAGTGTCCTAATCAACAGGAGAATCAGATTTCCATCTTACTGTTCCCAGTCAGCCCTGAAAAGGGTATTACCCCTTGGATTGAGAGCTACTGCAGGGCATAGGGTTCTTTCTTGGTAGGCATTGCTTCCAGGTACTTCATGGGAGGGGACACAGAAGGGGAGCTGTTATTTCCTTTTTCTTGAGATTTTAGTTGCTGACCTTATCTTTCAGTTGTCAAACCGTTAAATTCTTGCAGATCATCAGGGCTTGGGTATGTTGTGTCACAGTACATTTTTTTACTTTAGGCTTCTGTTGCTAACAGTAATTTTGTTTGGCTTTCAGCACGGAGGAAATTGGATCAGATGGAAAATGGTAATTATGACAAAGAAGGCAGCAGCATGGGGAGTCGTTCCAGTTCATCAGGTAATGCAGCAAATAGCAGGGCTGGCAGAAGCGTCCTTGGCTCTCAGTGAGGTTGCCATGGAGTACTCCTATGAGCCTGGCTCTTTCTAGGGCTCCCACACGTGTAGTATGTGGGTAGTCTCCCATTAAAGCTGACAAAATAGCCTTTAAGCACTAAAATGCAACAGGCTCTGAATGCAACAGTAGGTGATTATTCTTATTACAAAATTAATGTTTATATTTTCTTTACTTTTTTATTTTATTTTTTTAATGATGACTTTTACACTGCTTTTATGCTTGGAGGAAGCTCAGAGAATTCAATGAATAGGAGCCCCTCTTAAATGCAGCCAGAGGCAAAACAAAACCTAACAGCTGCTTCCAACACTATTTAATTGCACTATTGACAGTTGCCACTGTGTAAATGCTAAATCAATTAGCATGTTTAGAGGCGCTTATGTATTTGTGTGAAATTCATTACTTTTTTATCTAATTAGAAGTGAGATGTTCAGCATTGAAAATGTCATCTGTTTTCTTAATGTTTGTTTTAAATAAGTTTAATTCTGTCTAAGTATCTTGTAATCTTACTATAAAAGAGATTGAACTTGAAATACTTGTTTTGCTCTCTGTTTCTAAGTGACAAGTACTGCAAAGTATTTATGCACAGTGCTTTGGCCGCTGTGTATACAGCTTTCATATGTCTGTAATTTTAATGGACTCTGAAACTAAACTGTTTAAAGTCAGCTTAGTCCCGTGTAAAGTAATATCAACATGAAGGTACTTAGGTAGGAAGAAGCATTACTGATGTAAGCACAGTTATGCTAGGGGAAGCCTGTTCATGCCAGGCGGCTGTACTACTGTTGTAGGTATAATTAAGATGTTATATGTGTTGCTTATATAGAAACCAAGTAGCATCCAAATGAGATTGACATTTGAAAAGAGGAGTGTTTTGTCTGTCCTAAGCTGCTGAGACTCTAATGCACTGGTGGGAGACATTCTACCCCATGTGGAGCAAGGGCTTTACAAATGCAAATGTGTTGGCAGGCTCCCTTAACGCTCGCAGCAGCACCGAGGATCGGTCCCCGGAGAACACGGGCTCCGCAGCCGCCGTGGACAGCTTGCCAGAAGTGGACAAGTCCGTCCTGGTTGAAAGGATAGTGAGACTGCAGAAGGCACATGCTCGAAAAAACGAAAAGATGGAGTTCATGGAGGACCACATCAAACAACTAGTAGAGGAAATCAGGAAGAAAACTAAGTATGTCTTGAGTTTGGTTCATCTGCTTTCTCCATTTTCAGCTGCTGCACTGGACAGAAGCATTCTGGATTTTATTTAAGACCAGTGATTGTCTGAATGAAAATAGTTAAGACATTATTTCAGTGACAGTAGATTTCAAAGGTATAGTTAATCTTGGATTTCCCCACCCTTTTCCCAGCTGTTTTCTAATTGCTGTCCAAGTTGTTCCCTACCTATATGTGTCCTGGAGCCAGCAGTATTAAAATTTGTCAGGAGGAATGGAATGGTGCAAGTTTCTTGGTAGCAAAATGGCCACCTGGTTACTGATTTGAGGTGGATCGTTGCCACTGGCCAACAGGAGAGTTCAGCCTCTGTGTGCTGAAAAGGGTGCTGGTTGTAAGTGTGTGTTTTAGACTGAGAGGCTGCGTAATTCCAGATTAGTCTGGCCTGCAGGCCAAACCTGCACAAAAGCTTGTCCGTATTTAGTACGTGATTCCATTTGCATGGAAACCTAATGTTTTAGAGTGACATCTAGAATACAGGTGCGGAAGAAACTGTCGTGTATCTTCTGAAAAGCACTGTAGACTGTTACTTATAGCGCTTTCTTAACGTGTCTGTACTCTTCTACTCATGTGGTACTTTTTCAAGGGACCAGATTACAGTTTGTGGAGACTCCTAAGTGTCTGTATTTCCTATTTCATCTTCAGAGACTTTTAAGGCCATGATTCCATGTCTGGAGTCTACAAACACTATAATAAGAAAGAGGCAATAATTTAAATTATATATAGTTCAGGGAGAGAATTTCAAATTTTGAGGTAACTTTAAATCCCATTTAAGTGGGATTGTTTGGTCCTTCAGGAAAGGAGTAGATGGAGAGGCATCTTTTAAGCAACCTTTTTGCTCCAGCTGCATTAGTACTTCTTTAAGTTCCTCTGACTATGTAATCCCTGTGTGTTGTAGTTGCTCCACTGTCAAGAGTCTCTTATAGCATCTGTGTGATTTAGATTTTTCTCTATCCTGGAAACTGCGGCTTCCCTTTAGTTGGCAGGATTTGAATTTATTGCCTTTCTGGTAAAATAACAGTCCTTGAAAATAATGAGAGGAGAAGTATTTATTTATTTTTACACCCACACATGCGTAATGTCAAGATTCGAAAGGTACTTTGTCTTCCTTTTCACTGACTTGTAATGCTATGATATCTTTTTGACTTTTTGACTTTTTTCTTTCCCTTTCTTCTCCCAGAATTATTCAGAGCTACATTTTGCGGGAAGAAGCTGGAACGCTTTCCTCGGAGGCCTCTGACTTCAACAAAGTACACCTGAGTAGGCGAGGGGGGATTATGGCATCTCTCTACACATCTCATCCCGCCGATAGCGGCCTCACGTTAGAACTCTCCTTGGAGATAAACAGGAAGCTGCAGGCTGTGTTAGAAGATACCCTACTGAAGAATATTACGCTGAAAGTGAGTAACTGTGGTGTTCTTTCAGCTCGTTGAGAACTGGAGATGTTTAACACTGAGCAGAGAGCGCTTGAAGTAGATGCTTTGGGCATCTTTTGGGGTCCCAGCATAAGATGCTCAATAGGTTGGCTCTCAGCAGTAGATTCTGGGCTGCCTGCACAATCAGGAAGAAGGCCCTCCGTACCCTTCTGCCACCATCAGCAGCTTGTGCCTGGCCGTGTGCCAATTGCTCAGTGTCATTTTGGGCAGCACCTCAGCTGTGATGAAAACGTGGCAGGCTGGAAATGTTCTGCAGGCTGCCAAGTGCACTGTGTATTGCAGAAGCTGGAAATCTTCTCTTTCCTGTGATAATTGCTCCCCTTGAAGTGCAGAGACGGCCCTTACAGTCTTACCAACGGCCTGTAAGACTCGTTCAGAGCTTTGCAGAGTTTGTTGAAGCAGGTTTGCTTTTCCCCACGCCCAGCTAATCATTTTTTAATTTGTTCTGGATACTTGACATTTCAAATGCTGACCTAGATGGTAATTTTTAACTTCTTAGTGCATTTTGTGCTGATTGTCTCATTTTTCTTGTATTTATCTTTCTCCCTTCCCGCCCCGCCTCCCCAAAGGAGAACCTTCAGACTCTGGGAACAGAAATTGAACGGCTCACTAAACACCAGCTTGAACTGGAAAGGAGAATAAAGCCAACATAACCAAACTTCTATGGAATAACCAGCATGAAGATGCAGAAAAGGCAGGTGCTACAGACCATTGCTTTTTTACAGTTTTCCTCAAATATGGTTACCTGCTGGCGCAAGCATCCAGTACTTTACATATACAGCCCTTAACTATACAGGCTGTCTGTCTTCGAGTGAGAGAAGGTCCACAGGGTTTGGCATCAGCCTGGTTCTGTCTGCCCAGTAGCAGACTGAGATGTTGCTGGATTTTATGCACACTACAAGGAGGTGAAACATTTTGTTTGAAACATTGCAGACGATTTGCAGTGCTTACTGTGTTTTGAATGAGTTGCAATTTGGTTTTAATTTCTGCACTGTATAATTAATTACTTTTAATGATGGAGCTTGGAAAAATGAAGCTGATTATTTTTTTAGTTGCTGTTGAACATATCCAGCCTTACTGAACTGTAAGGGCTTTCAGACATTACTTCCTCCCTTGCATATTTTTCTGATATTTAGGTTGATTGAACATTTTTGACATGTGCATGGGAAAATGCTTTGTCACAAAATTTAAGTGACAGCCATGGCAATGCATATTTTCTACTTTAGGTTAGCATTCAACTTGGTGTTTCTTTTAAATAAGAGTGAAACAACATTAAAATTAAGGGATTAAGAAACTTGCTGGTTCAGTTGCTGAGTATATTTGATTGAAATGAGTGTCAGCTCAACAAATCCTGTAATCCCCTGATCTTTACATGTTTGAATCTAAAGAATTCTGATCTCAAGTAGTTAGTTACTAAAGTTCTCTGACTTTCTGCATAACTAAAAATATTAAAAAGTTGGAGTTTAAATTGACCACTGTTTCCTCCTGATTCAATCTGTTTTCAAAATATAAGCCTGCAGAGTTTACTCATTAGCTATGGATAGACAGGCCCGTGACAGCAGCAGTAAGAAATGGGCAGTGTATTTAAGTGGGTTTGCACTCTACTGGTTCATCTATAGAAGTGGCACAGAAATCGGAGACTCTTTAATTTTTCCGTTGTGAAGGAGACTCAAAATGTTGCGAACTCAAACCTTAATCCCTCAGTGACTGAGTGTGGTGGAGGGCAGGTATCACAATGACAAGATTCTTGTTTGTCACAATGTCCTTTTCATGTACCAATTCCAGGATAGCTTACAGGAACTGGAATGTCTTTATTCCAGCAGTAAATGCATAGATTTATGCATTTATTGTCTTTTGACCAAAATTTAATGAACAGAGCCAGACCAGGTCACGGTGTAAATATGTACTTTTGTCTTTTTATTAAATATTTGCACTTATCATGAAGAAAAATGAATGTGCACTTAAGAGTAATGCTTCAGCTATTTTAATTAGAAAGGACACTTGAAAAAAGAAAATTATTCTCTCTTATTCCAGTTGCTATTTGCATCATATATAAAACAAGAGGCCTGAATCCTGTAGCACAAGGTAGGAAAATGTATCAAAGCACCTAGACAACTTCAGTGTGTGGCCTCCATTTTCCGGTGCCACCAAGTCCCTTGAGGAATTTGGGGGATTCAAAATGCACTGAATTGAGCACCAGGGCCCGATTTGGCTCTTATGGGTAGTTTGGTGCAAGACAGAGACACCTTCCTTTTCACTTTGGAGATGGGCATCTCCGAACATGCTGGTAAGGTTGTCCACAGAGCCTCTGGAGTCTTGAATAGCCAGTCTTTATACTAAGAGGATTACGTGTTTGTTTAAAAAGAGGAGATGAAAACAAGTGATTTAAAACTTGATGAGCCTTGTAGGAATGATAATGCTTTAACCTAGATGGTTTTTATACACATACATATATTTTTTCAAACTCCTGAGAGCAATGGTTATGCAGAGTGTTACACATCCCGTTACGGGGCTCCTGCATTGCTGCTTTCTGAGTGATGCGGAGAGGAAAATCCCAGGTTCTGCTCAGAGTTGTCACCATCTTCCAGAAAGTTGAGAGCTCCCCCGGAGCAAACAAGCAGTTGGTCCTGACTGAACCGGACCTGCTGTGGAGAGAGAATTCTAGGAAGAGCAACTCGTGTGTCAAAACACAGCTTAGCTCCTGTGCATTAGTGTTTTCATGCTTTAATGTACCAGCTCCCTGGATATTCCCGGGCATTCAGCTGGGTGTCTCCAGTATTTTAGATGCCATGTTAATATTGTATCCATGTTTGTTCTTCAGGTGTACAGTGTGAATGAAGGAGCAATGTGATGCAGATGGAATAAGTGCAATGATATTGTGGAAACTTTTACCTTTTTGGCATGTTTTTTCTTCTTTTAAGTTATTTGAGAAACCTGGTTAGTTGTCCTCCTGCCCTGCTGAAAATGCTGCTTCTCTGTTAATGCTAGGTAAATTTTGATTCTTTTTGGTTATGGAGACACTAAACATCCCCCCAGATCACTTTGTTTATTGCATATGATATTCACTGGACCAAGGTTGCTTTCTAGATGCTTTATTTCAAACATACCTCTGAAAGATGGAAACTTGGAGTACAAAAGTAAAGAAGTTTGAGTACATGACAGGGTGAGTTAGCCACTTAGCTCAGTGCTGCTGCTCATTCCTGAGGGGAAGTGCTGTATTATCCATATAAATGCTGGAGTGAAGCCACCTGCCTTTTTCCATGGGCTCCATTAAGTGCCAGGAGTCGAGGATTGCCGGTGCAGAGAGCAAGGATGCTCTGAACAGCTGCGTAAAGGAGACCAGGCTGCTGGGCAGGGAGCTCTCGAGAGGATGCAAGGCTTATGAAGCAATCACATTTCATTTATCTTGGAAAGTTCTTATCATTGGTATGAATATTAGACTAAAAAATGTCCTCAGATGAAGTGGTATCTTGAAGACAGCCTGGAGCAGTTAGCTACGTATGTGCCATTGAATTCAGGGCCCATTTCGTACCTAATTGCCATGGGCTTTTTTTTTTGAAAATGCCAGCCTTGCAGCTAGTGGTATCCTACAGGCAGGAACCTTAAATCTGTTCCTTGAATACTCAGGGTGCTCTTAATGCAACCACCCTACATCCTGATGTTCTTTGAGGCCCTTCAGGAAAGCTGCCTGTGCTCTTCCATCTGCTGTAAAATCCAGCACTGAAGGTGTCTTAAGCAGGACCTTCCTCGCTGAACAGGTACCACTTCCTGCTCTAAAAGTCACTGGTTTTCTGCCACACAAACCTGTGCAATGTTTTATCCCTAGGAAGCAGTGGGGATCAGCCTCTGCATCTCAGATGTTCTCATCTTCCCTGTTCCAGGCAGCAGCTGCAGAATCTCTATTAAAACACAGCTTAGTCCTTGGAAAACTCTTTGTTAAAAGATCTGGCTCCTAACTAGAAAACTCGGGTCTGTGGCTCCCCAGGAATGGGGGCTGAGCTGAGCGCTGGCACGTTGTGGAGAGCAGGGCCTGCTGCAGCCTCGGGATTGGGCGCCCTCCCCTTGGCTGCCGGGAACAACTGCGCTGATGGACATCAGCGGTAGGTGGCACTCGAAATCAGGTTATCCTGCCCCAAAACCAACCCGAAACCCTTCAGACAAAACTGCTGAGTTGCAGAGGGAGGAGGGTGGTGGTCAGAGCTTTCTCAAGGTGGATGGGGTCTCCTTCCTGTTTTTGTGTTCTGATGGTGAAACTATGTCGAATCTTTCAATATATGTATGTATGTTGTCTGAGTATACACAAATGTCTATTGATTTAATTTTGTAGATACTTGTTTCTGTATAAAGTTTTGGAAGACATCACTATACATTATGTATATATTGTACTTTGAAATAATAAACATACAAATATGTGACCGACTCCAGAGTCTGTGGTTTGCCCCATTGCCCATTTCCTGCAGTCTCATTCGGACACCTCCGGCCTGTCCAGCAGCACAGCCAGAGCTGGAGACCTGTGCACATTCCAGAGCAGAAAGAGGGTGAGATTTTTCCATTTTAGGGTTGGGGAGGGGTGTGCTACAACTAAGTATTGCTGTGACTTACTGTCAATTCCAGTAAGTGGCCTCAAAGACTCCTCTTTTCCTTTCTGTGATGTGAATTTGACAGTCTCATACTGCCAGGAACAAGGGCCAGTTCCCTTGGTCACAGCTCTGCATTTGGCACATTATAACTTGCTGCTTATTTTTCCAGTTAGATCTAATCTAGTTTCTTTGGTTTTAACTATATCACTATAGAAAAATGATGCTGTCATTGCTAGCTGTTTCTTAGGCCTGCATTAAAAGCCCAGGAATCAGTAGCGTATGAACTGCCTTGCCCAAGCAAAAATTGCAGGGGAAGAAAGAAGATTGAGAAGGGGTAAATTGTGGGTTATATTTTAGTATCTCCCCAGTTGCCTTAAGTGAAAGAGTCAGCATTTTGTAGAAATTTGATGATGCTCTCCCACTAGGTCCTCGGGAGCAGGGTAAAGGCTCCTAGAGTGACTTTTTCGGTCACTACTACTTATATGCCCATATGCTGGAGTAGTTTTGCCCTTCACTGCTGTTCTTTTAACCTTTACCATGGGGAGCGGTTGCAAGCTCTTGCTGACAGATGAGACCAAAAATGAAGATCTGTTTGTGCTTCCAGTACTTCGCACTGCTGTTTGGAAACAGCAGCCTAATAACCTTTTCCATGGGGAGCGGTTGCAGCTCTTGCTGACAGACCAAAAATCAAGATCCGTTTGTGCTTCCAGTACTTCACACTGCTGTTTGGAAACAGCAGCCTAAAAGACAAGTTTTCTCGAGCTTCTTGGCTTTGTTATTTGTAAGTGGCCATTTGGCAAACAACTGTTCGTCCCCTCTTGCAGGTAGGTCTGCACTTCAGGCGGGAACAGCCCAACTGTGTTTGCAGAGGAAGGGTTTTCCCAGCACAGCAGTGTTAAGTACTCAGCTGTGAACCAAGCCAATCTGATACTGGAGCTATTAGGTAATAAATATAGAACTTGATGCTAGCAACTTGTCTAGCTGACTGCAAGAGAAAATCACTGCTGCTTTCTTCACTGCTCCATTTTAAGATGATTTTTATTTTAACGCAGAGATAGGGTTGGAGGGTAGGGGTTGTTATTGCTGTTTTAGGTTATTTTGCACTAACCACGGTTACAGACTTTGCAAGATTTTTGCATGCATAAATGTAACTGCAGCATGAGGTGAGTTGTCTTCATCTCACATTTGTAAATGAGCCATTAAATATGTGCATAGCAGTTTTGTCTTGGTGGGTGCCCCTGTGTTTGGAAAAGTGTCTGGCTTTCGTTTTGCAGGGCTTTTCACCAGGGGTAGTT